AGACACAGAGGTTGCGTTTTATTGCATTCTCATAAGTTATTGAGTTTTGATATCTTCATATGTTGTTGATGGAGGCAACAATAAGTGTTTGAATCGAATAAGAAATTATTTCACGACATTTCTATTTTTTAGAGTTGAATATTGCAGAAACTATTGTGAAACTGTTAAGAGTGGATACATTTAATAGATAAATAAATGCTTATTAAAAAATTAGGGCAAAAAAGAGATACAAAAAGGAGTGACGCGTCCACGGACTAACAACGAAGATAAAAGAATAACGAGAAAAAAAGAGACGATCGTATATGAAGGTGATTCAAAGAGAGAAAAAGAGCAAATACGGAACACATGTACTAGAAAATTTTACAACAAATTCCATGGATTACCATGGGTTCGTTTTTTAAGAACATCGTAAGAACCATTTCCTCATAAGATGGAAAAATCGAAAAGCCCGCATTCCATAATTTATTATCTCCTAAGCCATGTAGTACAGCTAGTTAGAATTGTTCGCAATAGTTAGCGAATATTATAAACATAATCTATAAAAAACATGGGGACAGTTGTAAGAAATACCTGTTTTCTAGGGATATATCTCAAGCCTCATTTTGACCTACACAGTAAAAAATTGTGAGTGGAGTTTGATTCTGAATTCACACTAAAAACAAACAATCGAAAACTTAATGTTTGATGATCATAATCCTTTTTGGAAGCAAGTATATTAAAATATTAAAGAAGGTTGATTTAGTAACTGGAATATTCTCTACCATTCCGACCTTTCACTAAAAACCGGTTCACTAAAAATCAATTTCGTAAAAAGAATTTTTTTTTGTAAAGTCCTTTTGAAAAATAACAGTATCGGAAGGATATTAATTCGAGTCACAAACTATACAAAGGAATTCAGGAATTCTGCTCTCCATTAATGATTTAACCATTTCTTGAGTTCCTGATGAAACAGGAAAGAAACAATTAATGTATCTATTAATAGGAATGAATTAATTTGAAGTAATTCATTGGTTATCGAAGTTTTTCTAAAAATATCACTTTTCGAAATATTAAATTTTTCAGGAATGGTCGTCAATCAGATATATTTTTATGAATACAAATGAACGCATATGTCCGGAATAAATAACGCTATCGGAATGAGACTGAACCCATTTGAAAACTGAGAACGTTTCCGGTTCCATGAGGTACTTATAGATCCCCTTCCATCCGCTATTCATAAATCGCTTTTCTTCGTGCTCAAAGCGCTCAATTTATTATTCAATTATTGACACTAACGTTGACTTTATACAATGTTCGACATTCCTTTTTATATTATTGACATAAACCATTTAAATTTGGCATCTGTCGCTGGTGACTGTTTAAACCACACCTTTAAGAGCAGATCCACGCCAAAGCAGCATTTTTTCCTGAAAAAATGGCTATTAGACAAAAATTTTGAAAAAGAAAAGGTTGAAAATTTCACAGAAATCCCCAGAAATTTGACCAGAAATACTAAGAAATTTTACCTTAACAGCACTAGAATTTTTCACAGCCGGTGGATTGTAATTTTTTCCAGTACTCGTACTAGATTTTTTATAGAAAATTTCTCTCCGTGCAAGCATTGACTTTTTTGGCCTGCTGATTTAGTGTGGATCTGTTCTTAGGTTACATTGTTTCAAGTAGTTACAAATTTATTCAATATATTCAGACTCAGTGTTACTTCTGTAAATTTTTCAGTGTTATATGAAGGGAAGAATTTCGTAGCCCTCAACCATTAATCGCTTACCAAAACAATTTTTCATTCGCAAATCGGTATGTTGCCGTAACTAAAGTATTCATTTATTGAGACAGATCGTCATATTATTTGTCAATTGCCGATTTCACTAGCTCTCTAATGAAGCAGGCATAATCGATTCACGTCAATGAGTTCCCGAAATATCGTCGGAAGCAAGAATTCGCGAAATATCAAATTCTTCAGAGATAATAAAATCGTCAATCAGATGTTTCTCCGTTGATGTTTGGAGATCGTTTCAGCAGGGCGCGCCACCTACCACACCGATTTCTGTAGATAAAACCGCAGGTGGTTTACCATCAGGTGAACCGGTCGCTCTGATCTACAAAGCGGGTATCCCCCGTTCTTCACGTGCCGATACCTGGCGCACTCTGCAGTCACCTGCCTTAACTTTCTCGCCATCTCGGTAAACTCCACAGCCATTCGTTAATTACCCTGACCGCGATTAACTTGCCACAGAGCAGGGGACAACCTCGTTAGATAGGCGTCCCTCCAAGGGTCATGATCCCTTTAATATTTTTACTGGCTCAATGCTAATTTTTTCATCCTGAAATCTACGAAAACGACCCACTTTCTCGGGTCAATTACGATTTTAAATCGCAGTCGCAATAGACTATATGCGACACTCCCCCTTATTTACGATCGCAATTCATCGATTTGGAGGGGAAATGAAACAGATTTTAGAACGAGAATGGAAGTTGCTTTAGTATTCATAAATCATATAAATATATTTCAGGATGAATCACAAAAAATTAAATTGTAATCAATTCATTGAAAGAAGAAATTAGTTTTGCCGAAAAACTCTATTAGTAGCGAATTGGTAAAACGGTACAAGTTAATTGTGACTATTGGCCAGTTGTCGACTAATATCTCGGAATCCAAGGAAAATAGCAAAATTTTTGTTATAAACTTTTTTGTAGAGACGATTGACAGCTACAACAAATGTGATTATGAAAATTTCGCTATCTCCCTTAGATTCGGAAATATTTATCAAAACCTCAACTGGGAGGTAAGTGGACTTTAACCGTTTTACCACTCCGCTACTGATATGTTCCCCTGAAGAGATTTTTTGTCGCGTTGAATCAATTTACTTGTGAACAAAAAAAAGTTTACACCACAACATGATAATTTTCGTAGCAGTAATTGCTCTCGTGAGATATTCATATGTATTTCGGGGGAATACATTCGTTCTACAGAGAATTATATGAGGTTTCGCAAAAAATGAACAAAATTTTTTTTCCGGTGAAAAATTTTGCGTTGATTTTTCTCCGGGTATTTTTCACGAAGAAACAAAAATCGGAAAAATCGGTAAGTTTTTAAAGGAAAATTTCATTTTATTCTGAACAAATTAATGAGTTTTCTGATTCAACTGAAATAGCATTTTCTTTTATATGATTGAATTTTACTTCGTCAATTGAGGGACAAAATTCATTTCAAATTCTTGAACTTATTAATAATCTCCATACACGCGATATGATTTCTGTGGGGTCGTTTTTGGCCCGTGGGCTGTTTCCTCCGAGATTCCTCTAATTAGATAGAAATTTTTGTAATTTGACAAATGTTATAATTTCTGGTTTGTAAATGGTCCCTTGAGGAATCATAAACGAAATTCGTAAGAAAGAATACGCTGAGAGAAAAAGATAATTCTCTCAACAATAACTCGTAATAATACACTGTGGAGAAATATAATTTTGCCAATCGGATTTGTTTCAGACAAACAAATGTCCGTAATTTTCATACAGAATTCCACTATAACTTCTCGTCCGAAACTTTATATTTTTTCTCAGTGTACTGTTTCTGTTACACAAACCCTTTATTTTCCTCTCAGTGTGCAACAATGAAAAGTAGGAACATATGCTTCAAATCTCATCGATTCCTATTGAATTTTCGCCAAAATCGAATTTTTTAGCCGGGTGAACGTTGATTCCAACTATTTAAGCGATGAGCTATTCAGAACTATCAAAAGTATGTGGAAAAAGTGAAAAAGAAAAAAAATTTTTTTTCGCCGGAGGCCAAAGTGTCGGATCTTGGATTTTTCCGGGGGGAAAGTCGGTCCAAGGGTCACAAGGGTCAAAGTGTCAGATCTTGGATTTTTCGCCAAAATCGAATTTTTTAGCCGGGTG